CCCAAAAAAAAAATAAAAAATAAAAATAAAATAAATAAAAATATAATATATTATTATTACGTGACAAAAACACTTGCGCTACAAAAAATAATTTTATTTAGCACAGCTATCGGGATTTTTTTTTTTCGTTAAGTAAGTGTCATTATATTTCTTCCATCCTCCCCTTGAAAACAGTAAAAACATTTTTTTTTTGTTGGGGGGGGGGGTTGGGGTTGAATGGGTGGGGCTGAAAATTTGATTAGAAGCTGCTGTCATCGGCAACGCGTCTATGTGCTAATTTTAGGCTCGATAGGTTGACGGGAAGTGGGTCAATTAGCCGTTACGAAGATTTTGCCGTTAAAACACGAACAAAAGTGAAAGTTAATTTAGAGGATTTAAAAAAATAAATTTAAAAGAAAAGGGATTTAATTTTATATATATATATATATATTTTTTAAACGTAGCTAAAGAAGGACAACTTTAGTTAGAAAAAACTATTTAATAGGTAATTAAAGTTGTATGAATAGCTTCCCTTTAAACTCGATCTTGTGCTTTCTTTGGCCATGATGTACACACATGCGTCTAAATGACAGATATGGCAAGAGTGCCAAAAAAAAAAAAAAAAGAGTCCCAACGACATTTAAGGCGTGTCTTTAAATTAAGACTTCTTCACCGAGCTCAATATATTGACTTAATACGTATTAAAAAAAAATTGTATCAAGAGGGGGGACACCAAAATTTCATAAAATAACAAATGTGGCCAGCACATGTATCAGTGGGGAAAAGGGGGGGGGGCGGAACACGTGACAGGTCAATTGGAGGGGATCTGATACAAAAAAGGGGTCAGATCGGAAGTCGACAAGGTTCAATATTTTGATGGGCACTAAATCTAAACAGAAAGAAGAAAAACGTAATAAAAGAAGAGAGTAGCACACACACGCTACACATAAAACTGCACAGAAAATTTCACACTCTTCAAGAATACTACATATAGTAACCTACATATAGTAACAGTATAGTTGTTTTTTTTTAAATAGGTTTTTATGTTATGTTATTTATTTTATTTTTTTGTCTCAGTAATTCCAGAGCTGGTAAAACGATTTTCGATCAACCTATGAAGAGTCCCTTTAACTTCACACACCAAACGATTCATTTACATCAAGGTTGTGCCACCTACGGCTCATGGGCCAAATAGGGGCCCGCTGAAATTTTTTAAATCCTGCTCGCAAGGCCTTTCGGGAAGTGGATTAATGTTTTCGGAAATGCACTCGTTGTGCGTGTTTGTAAAGGCGTTTGAGTTTGAGAGTAAAAAATTATGCTGTGCAATTTTCAAACTGTAATAATAATTTTCATAGCTAATTAAAAATAAGTAGGGGCCAAAATTATTCCACTGTTTAAATTCGAAATTAAATTGTACTGAGTTTTCGAAGCCCCCTCATAGATTATTGTAATCTAAAACTGTAGTTTTGATAAAAGATCTGATAAATTATCATGCGAACCACCAAATTTTTTATTTTTTTAAATTGCCTTGCGGCTATCTATCTGCTTAAAAATGGTTACACACTCCTCGCTTATCAGCGGGTTGACATTGACATGTCGCCTACAAAAATCACGGAGGCCCAGGTAGGCATTAAAAACCATACAGTAAAAATATAACGCTTCTTCTACGTCAGTGCTACGCGGAGAATGCGTGACCCGGCATAATGCTGTTTATCGGACACGGATCATTCGAGAAACGTCACTCTTTCAAATATAAGTTTCGGGTTTTCTTTTTATTTACCCATTCTTATCGGGATGTCCCACTGCCTTGATCCTGTCCTGAAATTGCGAAACATATTATAGACATACAATTTCAATTCGTCTGTGGTGTATTGAAATGTCTAAGCTAAATTTAAACAAGTGTTAAATCCTTTTATGTTGAATCACAACCGCCGAGAGAGAAAGATAGAGAGAGGGAGAGAGAGAGAGAGAGAGAGAGAGGGGAAGGGAGAGAGGAAGGGAGAGAGAGAGAGAGAGAGAGAGGGGGGGGGAGAATTTTTTAAAAGAAATTGTCTTTATAGAGAGAGGGAGAGAGGGAGAGCTGTTAAAAGCTATTTCCTACTTTAAGGAAACGTCATTTTAGGTCGTATTTTAATAAACATGTATCTCTATAGGCCTAAATTAAAGTGTTCGTAAATTTACGGAAAGTTGGCGATCCTGGTAGAGGGGGAATAAATATATAGATAGACAGATAGATAAGCAACAAACAGACATATATATATATATATA